CGTGCTGATCAGCTATATTAGTGCCCTTTTTTGAGGCATTAATCCTCATTATTGTCAATTATGATTTAAGGACGTAGGTTCCCTAGCTCAGGCGCGGATCCAGGGGGGGGCGAGCGGGCCTTGGCCCCCCCCCCCCCGCAAAAAAAAAAAAAAAAAAAAGAAGAAAGGAAAAGAAGGGAAAGGGAAAGAGGAGAGAAAGGAAAGAAAGAAGAAGAAGAAGAAGAATAAAAGAAAAGGGGGAAGAAGGAGATCGGGGGGGGGACCGAAACGGCCTTTCCTCCCAGACTGTTGACCCCCCCCCCCCCCCCCTCCAATCAAAAAAATAAGAGAGAAGGAAGGAAAGGGAAAGAAAAAAGGAAAAGAGGAGATACTGGCGTACTAATGGGGGGGGGGGGGGCTTTGGGGAAATCAAATTCAAACGTGGTTTATTTATAATTCCACAACGGTGGATTACAAATAATGCTGAAATGACATAATTTCCGAGATTTGTCCTCACTTTTTAGTAAATTATACGTTTGTATATGTGTTTGTTGGAAAATGACAAATTCCTAAATTTACAGCCAGCACGAAATATGATTCTTGAGATTCCTACTTGTCAGGGCCCGAGGTACGGCAGGGATCGGGAGCCTCGAGCTCCCTCCCCCCCCCCCCCCCCCCCCCCCCCCACTTTATTTGAAAAAGTATATTAAAGAGAAAAAAATAGAATGAGCGCAAGAAAGAACGAATAGTTAACTGCCAGTGTTAAAAAATTAGTCATCAAAATATGCTCATCTGACCGTGATTAAATGCCTAAAACCTTAAGCTTCCGGGGCTCTGCCCCCTGGATTCCACCTAGGGCGCTACGGCGGGCCCTTAGATGCTCATCTGACGGTAATTTAATGCCTAAAACCCCACTTTTGGGGGGATCCGCCCCCTGGACCCCACGCCAAATAGTGACCTGCCAGTGTCACAAAATAATAGGTATTAAAAAAAAATGATCATCTGACCTTAATTAAACGCCTAAAACCCCTGAGCTTCCGGAGCCGGACAAGTTATCAAAATGTGTTTATCTGACCGCAGGCGCGTAGCCAGCCAGTGGGGGGGGGGGGGGGGGGGGGGGGGGGCGGTCCCCCCAAATCGGAAGAGGACGTAGAAAGTAAAAGGAGCAGACAAAGAAAATCTTTGAAATTCAGACAAGGATTAAGAGTATAGAGAACGGTACAACGTATCGTCTTCTTTCTCTAATAATTTAATGAAACGTCAAAGCTTCGCGCAGGAGGGGAGGGGGGGGGGACTGAATTCAGACAAGGATTAAGAATCGAGAACGGTACAGTGAATCGTCTTCTTTCTCTCATAATCTTATGAAACGTCAAAGCTTTTGCGCGGGGGGGGGGAACCTGAATTCAGACGAGGATTCAGAGGCGAGAACGGTAATAATAATCTTTAATGAAACGTAAAAGCTTCCGCGTTTTGCGCGAGGTTGGAGGGGGAATTAAATTCCGACGAGGATTATTTTCGAGAACGGTACAACGAATCTTCTTTTTTCTCTATTGATTTAATGAAAATTAAAAGCTTCCGCGCGGGGGGAACCTGAATTCAGACGAGGATTAAGATTCGAGAACTGTACAGCTAATCGTCTTCTTTCTCTCATAATCTTATGAAACTTAAAAGCTTCCGCGCTTCGCGTGGGAGGGGGGGGACCTGAATTCAGACGAGGATTAAGAGTCGAGAACGGTACAACGAATCGTCTTCTTTCTCTAATGATTAAATAAAAAGCTTCCGCGCTTCGCGCGGGAGGGGGGGGAACCTGAATTCTGACGAGGATTAAGAGTCGAGAACCCTACAACGAATCGTATTCTTTCTTTAATAGTTTAATGAAACGTCAAAGCTTCCGCGCTTCGCGCGGGAGGGGAAAAACTAAATTCAAATGAAGATGTTGAGTCGAGAACGGTACAACGAATCGTCTTCTTTCTCTCATAATCTTATGAAACTTAAAAGCTTCCGCGCTTCGCGCGGGAGGAGGGGGGGAACCTGAATTCAGACGAGGATTAAGAGTCAAGAACGGTACAACGAATCGTCTTCTTTCTCTAATGATTTAATGACACGTAAAAGCTTCCGCGCTTCGCGCAGGAGGGGGAGGGGGAACTGAATTTAGACGAGGATTAAGAGTCGAGAACGGTACAACGAATCGTCTTCTTTCTCTAATGATTTAATGAAACGTAAAAGCTTCCGCGCTTCGCGCGGGAGAGGGGGGGGGGGGAGAACCTGAATTCAGACGAGGATTAAGAGTCGAGAACTCTACATCGAATCGTCTTCTTTCTCACATAATCTTATAAAACTTAAAAGCTTGGGGGGGGGGTCCTGAATTCAGATGAGGATTAAGAGTCGAGAACTCTACAACGAATCGTATTATTTCTTTAATAGTTTTAATGAAACTTCAAGGCTTCCGCGCTTCGCGCAGGAGGGGGAGGGGGGGGGGACTGAATTTAGACGAGGATTAAGAGTCGAGAACGGTACAACGAGTCGTCTTCTTTCTCTAATGATTTAATGAAACGTAAAAGCTTCGCGCAGGAGGGGAGGGGGGGGGGACTGAATTCAGACAAGGATTAAGAATCGAGAACGGTACAGTGAATCGTCTTCTTTCTCTCATAATCTTATGAAACGTCAAAGCTTGGGGGGGGGGGGCCTGAATTCAGATGAGGATTAAGAGTCGAGAACTCTACAACGAATCGTATTATTTCTTTAATAGTTTTAATGAAACTTCAAAGCTTCCACGCTTCGCGCAGGAGGGGGAGGGGGGTGGGACTGAATTTAGACGAGGATTAAGAGTCGAGAACGGTACAACGAGTCGTCTTCTTTCTCTAATGATTTAATGAAACGTAAAAGCTTCCGCGCTTCGCTCGTGAGGGGGGAACCTGAATTCAGACGAGGATTAAGAGTCGAGAACTCTACAACGAATCGTCTTCTTTATCTCATAATCTTATAAAACTTAAAAGCTTGGGGGGGGGGGACCTGAATTCAGATGAGGATTAAGAGTCGAGAACTCTACAACGAATCGTATTATTTCTTTAATAGTTTTAATGAAACTTCAAGGCTTCCGCGCTTCGCGCAGGAGGGGGAGGGGGGGGGGACTGAATTTAGACGAGGATTAAGAGTCGAGAACGGTACAACGAGTCGTCTTCTTTCTCTAATGATTTAATGAAACGTAAAAGCTTCCGCGCTTCGCTCGTGAGGGGGGAACCTGAATTCAGACGAGGATTAGGAGTCGAGAACTCTACAACGAATCGTCTTCTTTATCTCATAATCTTATAAAACTTAAAAGCTTGGGGGGGACCTGAATTCAGATGAGGATTAAGAGTCGAGAACTCTACAACGAATCGTATTATTTCTTTAATAGTTTTAATGAAACTTCAAAGCTTCCACGCTTCGCGCAGGAGGGGGAGGGGGTGGGACTGAATTTAGACGAGGATTAAGAGTCGAGAACGGTACAACGAGTCGTCTTCTTTCTCTAATGATTTAATGAAACGTAAAAGCTTCCGCGCTTCGCTCGTGAGGGGGGAACCTGAATTCAGACGAGGATTAAGAGTCGAGAACTCTGCAACGAATCGTCTTCTTTCTCTAATAATTTAATAAAACGTAAAATTTTCCGCGCTTTGCGCGGGATGGGGAAAAACTAAATTCAGACGCGGATTAAGAGTCGAGAACGGTACAACGAATCGTCTTCTTTCTTTAATAGTTTAATGAAGTGTCAAAGCTTCCGCGCTTCGCGCAGGAGGGGAAGAGGGGCTGAATTTAGACAAGGATTAAGAGTCGAGAACTCTACAATGAATCGTCTTCTTTCGCTAATAATTTAATAAAACGTAAAAGCTTCCGCGCTTCGCGCAGGACGGGGGGGGGGGGGCTGAATTACGACAAGGATTAAGAGTCGAGAACTCTGCAACGAATCGTCTTCTTTCTCTAATAACTTAATAAATCGTAAAAGCTTCCGCGTTTCGTGGAGGAGGGTGGGGGAAAACTTGCCCCTCTCTGCACCGACCCCCCCCCCCCTCCGCATTACGTCACTGTTCGTCATCGTTACGTACCAATATTTGGCTCGCATAATTTCAAATTTGGCCCCCCCCTAAGAAATCCTGGATCCGCGCCTGCCCTAGCTGATTAGCATAGTAGCACACATATGATATAGCAGTCACGCAAAACAAACACTCGCAAATTAATATTTAATAAAATCTGAGAATGTATGCCATTATCTAGATCTATTAGAAATAAATAATTTTTAAAAATCCTTCCCTAAACTGGGGTAAAAATAAATATTCCACCATTATGACCAACAGTGTATTTGAATTGAATGACTATAATATTGTTATATTTATGTTTTTATGTCATAAAAGTATTATTCCTCCTAGTCTATCAAACAAATTTATTTTGAATTCTGAAGTACATTCATATATAACTAGACAATCATCTCATTTTCATTTACCACTTATCAAAACTTCTGTCTCTAAAAATTCAATTTTCTTTAAAGGACCAATTTTATGGAATGAGTTACCTCCTAACGTTAAATCAAGCCCAACTCTGAATACATTTAAAAGAAGATACAAACAATTACGTCTTTGTGAATAGTATTTTATTAGTTTTTATATATGCAATCAGGTGTTAGATGTTAGGTGTTAGTTGTTAGGTGTTAAGTGTTATAGGTTAAAATTGTCGCTAGGGACCAGCCCCACACAAGACTTAATTGTTCTTTCTTGCTGGTTCCTCATTCGTATATATATTCGTTATGTTATTCGTATGTACTTTACTTTACTGGGGGGGGGGGGGGGTAAGAGGACACTTTTTTTTGGGGGGGGGTCTCGAAATTTCAAAATTTGACATTTTGTTCCGTTGGGGGGGGGGGTAAGGTCACCTTTTTTAGGTCAGCCACTGGCATAAAAGGGGGGGGGGGGGGGTTCACAAAAAAACATACACAAAACATACACATAAAAAAAAAACTCAAGGGGGGTTTAACCCCCCCCCCCCTCCTGCGTACGCGCCTGATCAACACTCATTACCTGTATAATTGGACCAATTGCAAGTGATTCAATAATAGTCAATCTCCGGAACATAGTCAGGTTTCTTTTTCTCCAGTTATCCAGCAGTCTTTGCATTTTCTCTAATTTATATTGTCAATCCATCTTTAAAGCACACTGCAGATCAGATACGATATGATGTCCTAAGTATTTTACTGGTTCATCTGCCCAGTGTAAGCCGAAATAAGATATCGACCATCGTTGACAGGATTTTCCAATCCAAATCAAGACAGTCTTTTCTTTATTTAACTTCGGTTCTGCAACTTCCCCCAAAAACTCTAATTCGTTTAAAATATTGTCAATAGAATTTATATCAGAAATATAAAATAAAGTGTCATCTGCATATTACAGCAGTTTTAGATCAATACCTTTATCATTATAAAAATATCCAGACCTTTAATTTTATTATTTTCTCTCACTTTATTTGCCATAAGTTCTGCGGCCAGTACAAACAATAAGGCCGAGAGGGGACACCCTTGTCGTATTCCTATAAGAAAACTCTGGAAAACAGGCCCAAAGTTAAATTTACTCTGACATTTTTTGATAAAGGTTACATCAATTACAACTAAAGCTTTAGAAAAATCGGCCATCATAAGAGCATGGTTTTTACCACGATCAGTGAGTTCGTAATCCCCTTTACCCCGTGCTCTTTTCAGCAATTCATTAATAACTTTTCAGGTCTATTAAACCTCTGTTGTTACATCATTAAATCTTTTAAAGAAGTAACTACGTTTTCTCTTTCTCACTATTAACTTCAGTTCTGACAATTTCTTTTTATATGGTGATGGGTTATATATTGATAAAAGTTACTTTATCATAAATATTTATTAAATATTTATGATTAAGTAACTTTTATCAAATTGCATAACTTTTAAAATCTATAATCAAATCAATGTTTATCATTTTTCTTACACTTATTTTTTGTAAATATATCTGCATGGATAGCATTCGTTATATATTAACAAACAGGTTCATACAACTATAAAAAGAAGTATTCAATAAGTGATCAATAAGTGATCAAAAAGTGATGCTATAAGATCAATTATCCTAGTTGGTTTAATAATAAGTTGCACAAATACAAAAATGCTAATGAACCTATAGAAATATGTCAAGATGTGTAGAAAAAGTACATCAGTAAGCACTCCTTTTGCTCATTTGTTATTTTACAAAGAGAGGGTTCCGAATAATTGTTGGTATAAATTTATGTTGTTTTTTGCGCGCTTACTTTACTTGGTTGGCAGAAATGTTTGTGGTATGCATATATAGACACACACAAATGTGCCCCAAACGTTTTAAGAGCGATTTGCGATATGTTTTTTTTTTTATACAATTCCTTTGCTTTGCGCATTACCTTTTTTCTTTGAAATAAATTTGAAAAATATCTGCAAGTATATGATTTTACACAGCAACAAAACAGCAAAAAGCAAAACACGAACAAGAATTTAAGTTAGAAATTAAAGATAACGGTAAGATTTTTGTCTGTATATAAATTATAAATTCAGTACACAATAACACCCATGTGCATCGCCAATGTACCGAGTGGAATATATAATCACTGTAGGTTACAAAAGGTGTTTTGGCAAATTCAGCAATGCATGTCCTGAATTTTAACTACTACTTATATAACTCCTACTAATTTTACTAAAACACACACACACTTTAAAATGGCGTCGGGGGGGGGGGTCATTTGTGCTATGGTGTGCTACCTATATGAACTGGTATTTTAAGCTAGAATTTGATGACACAATGTAAACGCGTCACCTTTAATAAGAAGCTCCCCCAAGCCGTTCCTTCAACTCATTGAAGTCTAAATAGCCATTTTCTTCTTACAAAAGGATGCACGTTGATCCTTTGCTTTCGGCATGCTGTAACGCTCTATCAGCCACCAAGGTACACTGGTTGAGAGCTTCCAGCAAAGCCACATGTTTTGCCACGTCATAGAAGTGATTCTTCTCTGTGTAGTTCTCGATCTCGAAAACGTATTTGATTTCCAGACTGAGAAGGTCTGATTTGAAATGGCTTACCAAACCAGACGTGGACGCCTTATGCGTTATAATAAAAATGGGAGGTACTCCTGTATAAAAGAAATCACAAAAAAATGCATGTGAATGATAACAATGATGCTTTAGAATTTTAAATATCGTGACGTCATTGCAGTTATAGCCTAACTCCACAGGTGCTCTCAGATGTATGAAGTACTAAGAGCTAACCACAAAACCGGCGTCGCACAAACTGCAATATTCATTGGCATAATGATAATGGGGAGTGTGCCCCCTAAAAATGAATATAAAAATGAAAATAAATAAAGAGATTTTGCTCCAAGAAATTGGGGGAAAGTGTGAACAGGAGAGAAAAAAGGGAAGATAGAGATATTAAGAAAGAAAGGGTACTTTCCAGGTCTTTCATCTATGTTTCACTTTAATTTGGTGCTGATTCTGTTGAGCCAATGTGGAGTAGCATGCTCCGCTCCAGTTCTACATAACACAATATGTGAACCAAAATTTCCAGAATTTCCCGAGTGATACTTATTTATTCACTGTGACGCCAACTTTGCATTGATGTTCATGTTCATGATTATATTTTTGCAATGAATAAATTTCATTCCAATATTTCTGAGAGTAAATATGCTATCATAAACTAAGGTTTAGAATCATCATAAACTATACCTGTCATTCGTTTGATAGTCTGGACAAGGTCAGCTAAATCAGACGCTTTAACAAGAAGGTTCTCTCCACTATATAAAAAAAAACAATAATAAGGTAATGAAACAAAAATGTGAAATGTATTCCATTTTTAACAAGATGAGATTTAAAAATATTTAACTCAAATTGACGTCTAATTTTTGTTAAAGTTATCATATTCGTGTAAAGCTTCATGTTCCTTAAATAATGAATTCAAATTCTAAAGAGATTTTCTTGTTCGTGGAAATCAAGGCCATAAAAACAATACGAATTGTTTATGTAAACAAACAACATGCGTTTATATAAGATCTTTATTGCATTTAATAGAATTTAACCCGATACGAATTGCCACTAGATTAAGGCAACTTAAAAGTTTTTCAATACGATCACTAACCCGATGACCGGGGTAATAATATATCTGTAAAGCGCTTACGCACATCGTTGGATCGGTGTATTGAGCGCTATATAAAACAACGGATTATTATTATTATTATTATTATTATTATTAAAGAAAACCTAAGATGTGGAATATATCCGTTTTTTGTAAAGCTGGATAAGATTTTTTTTTCGCAAATACACTGTTGCCCATAAAACTGGAACTGTTAAGGAAGATTTTAACATGCATGCACCTCCTTTTTGGGTGGAAGTTCAAAAACTTATGCATTTCATGGAAGAATGTGCAATGACATTTAAGGAGACACTAAAAAGTTCATAGAAATTGGCAATTTGAATGAGAATAAAATGGATACTAATACAAAACATTATGTAAATCATCTTTTATTTGCTTAGGCCTATATATATATATATATATATATATGTATATATATATATATATATATATATATAGTTACTGCACGAGTAACATTAGCACACTTTGAGTTGCATACGTACAGGGCGTTGCTAGTAGATGTTGACTGGTAAAAGGTGGGAGGCCGGAAGGGAGTTGTCGAACCAATTTATTGTCTGAAAATGTTGCCTCCAACCCCCTCAAGCGTATACAGGGGGCGGTGACCCCCCCCCCCCCCCCCCCCCCCCAAAAAAAAAAAAAAAAAAAAAAAAAAAAAAACGTCGGCCAAAAAAAAAAAAAAAAAAAAGAAAGAAGGAGGACGTGGGAAGAAAAAGGATTAATAGTCGAGAACGGTACAACGAATCGTCTTCTTTCTCTAATAAGTTAATGAAACGTCAAAGCTTCTGCGCTTCTCGCGGGAGGGGGAAAACTGAATTCAGACAAGGATTAAGAGTCGAGAATGGTACAACGAATCGTCTTCTTTCTTTAATAATTTAATGAACGTCAGAGCTTCCGCGCTACGCGCGGAGAAAGGGGAACTTGATTCAAACAAGGATTAAGAGTCGGGAACGACACAACAAATCGTCTTCTTTCTCTAATAATTTAATGAAACGTCAAAACTTTGCTAATTCGCGCGCTCTGTAAGTGATTCGCACGCTTTGCGTGCTCATTAGCGCCCCCTAAAATAAAATCCTGGCAACGCGCTTGGCCCCTCCCCCCCCCCCCCCATTTGTTTATAAAATTTCGTACGGAGTTTGCAAAACCCTTTCTTGTTCAGCTTCTAACGGCGCCTAAAAGTTCGGGTATTCGGACACCTATCCCCTGGGCAACCACCCCCTGACAACCACCCCTTTGATATTACCATCCTCCAGGACAAGTACCCCCAGACAAGTACCCTCAAGGCAACCGCCCTCTAGGAAATATACCTCCTTGATATCTACCACATATGGTAACTACCACCAAAATACCCCCAAACAACAACCACTAAGGGTAATTACCAATCGGGAGTAGTTGTCGTAGAGGGTGGTTTTCCTAGGGGTCGTTGTCTGGGGGTAGTTTTCCAGGGGCAGTTGTCTTAGAGGGTGGTTTCCTACGGGGTAGTTGTCTGGGGGAACTATCCGGGGAAGTTGTCTTAGAGGGTGGTTGTCCTAGGAGATAGTTGTCTGGGGTAGTTTTCCGGGGGGGGTAGTTTTCTTAGAGGGAGGTTGTCCTATAGGTAGTTGTCTGGGGGTAGTTGTCCGGGGGTACTTGTTGTCCCAGAGGGTGGTTTTCCCTAGGGGTGGTTCTCCGGAGGGTGGTTGTTCAGGGGTAGATGTCCTAGAAACAAATTTTCGGTATAAACTGCAAATTAAAATCGTGTACCTGACAACTATTACGGAACAGTGGATCTGGGATAGCTTGTTGTCAGATGTGGACGTCCACTTACTATTCAAGTAAGCATTTAGTCATTCTATTCTGCCTTTATCCCAGACAACACGTTCACCATCTCGCCGGACTCCTCCTGTATCAGATGAAAATAACAATTGTGCTCATGAACACGCATTGAAGCTCAAGACACATATTTGCTTCACTTCATAATATAATGCATTTATTCGTGTTTACTGAAATAATAAGATATGCGGCTCGAAGATGATCTGTTATGCCAAGCATAAGAAGAATAATGATCAATGTGAAACAAAATTAAGTAATATAATAGATGGTAAAATCACAGCGACTTTTTTCTAAATAGAATATTTCTCCAAAATTGCAAAAGAAGTAACAATTTATGTAAAAGACGGTGTAAAAAAAAGTAAGTCGCATGGACCTCTAACTTCTTTGACATCCACGGAGTTCATCTGTTTCATCTCTTAGAGTACAATATTATTATTATTATATTAATATTTATGTTTGCATTCAAAGAATAGATTGAAAAATGAAGAAGAAAAAACTTTATGGATTTTAAATATATATATATACAGTGCGTCCCAGAAAAAACGAAACCGAGAATTATCGATGTTTCATCTTAACTTAATCACAATTATAATTGATAAACACATATTTGGAAAGCTTAGATCCTCCTCTTTCATTCGATGCATCTCGTATAATCAATATTTTTACGCATGAGTGATTAAAATCAATTTGAAGAGAGGAAACCGAAAAGTCGTTTGGCGGGCGGTATCTGAATTTCAAAGAGAAAATCACATTTCTAGAAAGTTGGGTTTCTGCCCTTTCATATGACACCTCAATCAGGAAAATTGAGCAAGGAATGACAAAGTTCTGTTTGTTTAAAGTAGCCCTTACATTTTCATAATTTTAGCAAACAAATTCGTTTTCACTGGCTGCCTGTCGTAGCAAAAAGAAGAATTGGCAAAAGACTTAACTCCGTTTCGTTGACAATCAGCCATGCATGAAGTCTTTCGTCTACGGCTGATTGTCAACGAAACGGAGTTAAGTCTTTTATTAATTCCGTTTGTTGCTACAGCAGACAGCCAGTGAAAACGAATTCGTTTGATAAAGATATGGAAATGCAAGCACTACTTTAACCAAACAGAACTTTGTCATTCCTTGCTAATTTTTTATGATTGAGGTGTCATATTAAAGGGCAGAAACTCAACTTTTTAGAAATGTGATTTTCTCTTTGAAATTCAGATACCACTCGCCAAATGACTTTTTGGGGTCCTCTCTTCATGTTCATTTTAATAATCACTCATGCATGAAATATGGCTTATACGAGATGCATCGAATGAAAGAGGAGGATCTAAGCTTTCCAAATATGTGTCATTTATCAATTATAATTGTGATTAAGTTAAGATAAAACATCGATAATTCTCGGTTTCGTTTTTTCTGGGACGCACTGTATATATATATATATATATATATATATATATATATGATTACGAGTTTAGTTGTACCAATTTGCCTTTGCTCTGTTTTGTTTGCGTAGAACAAATTGTGAAAGTATAAGTTGGAAGAAAAGAATGACGCAGGTTAATTCTATATGTACATGCATACATAATATAAAAGTGCGAGAAATCTCAACTCTGACATGACAACGGGTGTTCCAGAATATGTAACCTGAAGAAGGCCTCATAAGCCGAAAGCTCGTAATAAAATTGTAAAGTACAGCTACGTCTCACGTTCCTAGACCATTTTCTTCACGCCTATATATATATATAATCAGTGGCCTCTATACTCCCCCCTCCTCCCCACTGAAAAAGTCTAGCGACGCCCCTGTTATACCCATAAACAGGGGCGTCGCTAGACGTTTTTTCAGTGGGGAGAGGAGGGGGGAGTACAGGCCACCGATTACCGACAAAACTAATAATAAAAAATACTAAAAAAAAAAATATATATATATATATATACAACATGATAGTAAGACAATATAGACCAAATGTAGATGATCCCGACAACTCGACCCTATTCCTATTCCAAACTCGTTGGAAACAGTGAGTACACTGCAGTGGCGTACCTGGGGTACTCCGTCAGGAGGGGCAAGCGATCGAAACAAAACAAAAAAGGCGATGATAATTTTCACTTCTGGTGAGCGAGCGGGCAACAGAATATCTTTAAGTAACCTTTGGTATATAAACCGGTATTGTTGCAAGTCGGGGGTGGGCACATTTATTTGTTAGCGACGTTAATTTCATTTCTGCAAGCGAGCGTAGCGAGTAAGAAAAAAAATCCCTTCTTTTTTAATAATTGCCACTTAAACTTGATTTTATACCAATTTTAGCTAATCGTGTTTCAGGCAATGTCAATCTTTTTTTGGCGGGCAGGCAACACCCCTACATTTCTCTTTTTAATTATATTGTAGCAGGCCAGTGGTGGGCACATAATTTCACGAGCTAGCGAACATGGTACATGAACTTGGTTTCATTGTTCCATGTCAGGGACGTGATTATTAAAAGCGATGTTATTTCTATTTTGGCGAGCGAGCGTAGCGAGCGAGCAAAATTTGTGTAATGATAATTGGTTCATTTTTAATTTTTTTTTTGTTGCAGGTCAGGGCTTACACAATCATGTCTAAGGTGATGTTAATTCCGTTTTGGCGAGCGAGCACACCAAAACTTCTTTGAATAACGTTTGGTACATAATTATTAACTGGTTGTTGCAGGTTGGGGCGGTGTTAATTTCATTTTGGGGAGCGAGCGTAGCGGGCAAGAAAAAAAAATCGCTTCTTTTTTTAATAATTTCCAATTAAACTTGGTTCAATTGTCCTCAATGAATTGGTACATAAACTTTGTTTCATTGTTGCAGGTCGGGAGTGGGTACAATCGTGTTGTCAATCCCATTTTGGCGGGCAGGCAACCCCCCCCCCCACATTTCTCTTTTTATGATATTTATAGCAGGTCAGTGGCGGGCACATTTGTTAGTAATGCAAGCATAATTCCACTTCGGCGAGCGAGCGAGCGAGAAAAAAAAAATCACTTCTCTTTTAGTGAGAACATGGTACATAAACTTGGTCGGGGGCGGGCACAAGCGTGATTTATAGTAAAAGCGATGTTACTTCTATTTTGGCGAGCGAGCGTAGCGAGCGAGCAAAACAAATTTAATGATGATTGGTACATAATTTTCAGGTTTTTGTTGCAGGTCGGGGCTTACACAAACATGTTTAAGGTGATGTTAATTCCATTTTGGCGAGGGAGCGTAGCTAGAGAGCAAACCAAATTTTCTTTGAATAACGTTTGGTACATAATTATTAACTGGTAATTTGTTGTAGGTTGGGGCGAGCATGTTTGTTAGCGATGTTAATTGTAAAGACATCGTAGCAAGAGAGGATTAAAAAAATCAACTAATATATCAATCACTAAAATCAATCAATTCATCAATTCTGGCGAGCAAGGAAACAATATCTCTTAAAATAACGTTCGATACTTATTTACTGAGATTATTGTTGCAGGCAAGGGGGCGCACATATTTTATTAGAAATGTCAATTCCATTTTGGCGAGCGAGCATAGCGAGCAAGCAAAAAAAATTCAATTCTCTTTTAATAGAAATTAATACATAAACTTGTTTTTATTGGTGCAGGTCGGGATGGGCGCAATCGCGTTTAACGCGATATCAATTCCTTTTTGGCGAGAGGGCGAAAAAACACTTCCATTTTTAATGATATTGTTGCAGGTCAAGGGTGGGCACAATTATTTTCAAGGCAATGTTTATTCCATTTATTCGCGAGCGAGCGTAGCAAGAGAAAAAAATGAATCAGTCTCTTTTAGTAACATTTGGTACATAAATTGGGTGTTATTGTTGCCATGGTTGCAGGTCGGGGCCAGTCGGGGCAGGCACAATTGTATTCTAGGCAATGCTAATCCTTTTCTTTTAGGGGGACGAGCAAGTAAAAACAATTAATACAAAATAGGCTAGCAAGCAGCTCGCGCCAGCGAAGAGTGTCGAATTTGTTATATCACTTATATTTTCCTATTTTCATTTGTCTTTTTTTCAGGGCCGTATGTGGAATATTTTCCTGGTGGGGGAGGGGGAAAGATGCGTAAAAAGTTTTCGAAGAAACTCAAAAGCGAAAGGAGTGAAGGGAGTTCGAGCGACCGAACTGGTCATGCGGGTACTTTTGCATTTTCAAACATAGTATTGAAGGATTTGGTATAGGCCTTCACCACTTGTGAGCTTTGTTAAACACTTTCAGGAAAAAACTGTACGTTTTCAAAATATCTGGGGTCAACGCCCCCCCCCCGTACGGTCATGGTCTTTTTTTTAATTTCCCCATTTTTTTCTCTCCTTTCTTTTCCCTTTTTCTTTCTTTTCTCTTCTTTTTCCTTTTTTCTTTCCTTTTCCGTTTTTTCCTTTTTTCTCTTTCTTTCCTTTTTTTTCTTTTTTTTTTCTTTCCCCTTTTCCTTGTTTCCCCTTTCCTTTCCTTTCTTTTCTTTCTCCCTTTTTTCTTTCTCTTTCCCCCTTTTTTCCTTTCCCCTTCCCCCCTTTTTTTCCCTGCAGCCCGTCAGGGGGGGGGGCTCTCTGCCCCCCTTGCCCCCCCCCCTCAGGTACGCCAGTGGTATATGGGAACAAATAATGCTTGTGCAGGTATATACTAATAAACATCCCTGATTTAAATCAAAATATATTATACTCACCTATTTGGTATTCAACTTCGCCCATGAACTTTTGGCTGAATTCTACCATGCCCCGATTGTCACAGACAACAAGATGATCGGTCAAGTCGTAAGCGTCTCGGATCATGGTGGTAGATTGCTGTTCCGCGTACCCTTCTGGAGCCTCATGATTCCACGATTCCCCAGTAACGTAGAGAAGAGAATTGATGAAGGCCGACTTCCCTACACCAGGTGCCCCAAAAATCCCAATCCTCGTCTGTTTTGGAGGGTTCTTGGGCCGTTTCTCCTTTGATCGAATGGTTTGCCCAGGGCTGTATTTTTTCAAAATTGCTTGCAATTCCGCGACTCGAGTTTCGTGAGGGTAACATATTCCCGCCATTTTCCTGTAAATTTGATTCTTTAATAGCAGAAAATTTTGCAGACTTTATTTTTGTATGTAACCGCCTTATCTACGTAGACTTTAATATCGTGCTTAGCGGAATATACATGTAAATGTTTTAGCGGGTTGCCGCGAAATGTCAGTCTACCCCGCACGCACGGGGAATTCCAGGTAACCTTTGAACTTCATGAGTCACATTCATGAGTACCTTCCATTGTGGGAACATTAATGTCGGAACAGACAATGGCGTAGCCTTTCCTGTCCCTTTTTATGGATGGGGAGGGGGACAATGGTTTTCCTACATATCATGTTGCGTGTTGGGACTTGGCATTTACTTTTAATTTACCCCCCCCCCCCCGGCCCCTCCATAATTTTCTGCTTTATCCGCGCACTACCTTGAATTCGATTGGTGGCCGAGCCATGCTGCCTATCCCCCTCCCAACAGTAACATTTACATTATTTCATCATCTTCTAATTTCTTTCTCTTGTTTACATTAGCTTATTCAGTTTCCAAAATGATACCCTTTTAATACAGAGTTATAGTTCTGAGAACACACGGCATGTAAAAATCATTCAACGTTGTGATTAATTACATCAAGTCAAGTAGATGTAAAAATATTTATTCAGGAAGTATATCAATATTTGCATGTTTCACTTTCTATATGGGTAAATTAAATGAAAGGTACCGGGAGCAGGCGCGTACGCAAGGGGTGGGGGGGAGTTTGGGGTCAACCCCCCCCCCCTCAAAAAAATTGTGTGTGTTTTGGGGTCAACCCCCCCCCCCCCTCAAAACAAAATTGTGTGTGTTTTGGAGGAAACCCGTTCCCCCTCATTTTTGTTACCCCCCCCCCCCCCCCCCCCCCCCTCAACGGAACGAAATGTCGATCGGTCAATTTTTCAAATTTCCGGACCAAAAAAAAAATGTGCTCTGGCTGAGTCGTTGCGAAATTTTCAGCGGGATTTTAAAATTTTAACCCCCCCCCCCCCCCCCCCCCCCTTCGAAAAAGCCCTGCGTATGCGCCTGACCGGGAGCCGTCTTGTCATTCTCTTTTCACCCTTTAAAAAAATACTTTGTGACACTAAGCCGTTTGCATGATAGATTTGGACTCAAAGACACAGCCTTGGAATGTTTCGATCCTACCTCACTAACAGAACTCAGTCTGTTTTTGTTAGCGACTGTGAGTCACATGTCAGCTCTTCGAACTTCGGAGTACCCCAAGGATCTGTTATCGGTCCGTTAGCATTTACACTTTTCTCGTCTCCATTAGAGGATGTCATTAAACACCATGGCATATCGTGTATGACTTATGCAGACGACACTCAAATTCACCTCGTGCTAAAGAAGGATAACCATGCATGCTGTTGCTCTACAAAGACTCAGTGCATGTTTTACAGACATTAAGATTGGTCCATACAGAATGGATTGAAATTAAATGAAAATAAGACGGAGTGTATACACTTTGTTAGCAGACATAGGACTTGTAGTCCGATTGATGATGTATGTCTTGATGGTACTGACATAGAATGTTCTACAGGTGCTAGAAACCTTGGGGTCACATTTGATAATAATCTATCTCTGAAGACTCATGTGAACAATGTATGCAGATCTGCCTCATTTGCGTTGCATAAAATCGGTAGCATCCGTCAGTTTCTTACTAAAAAGACCACCCAGAGACTTGTTCAGTCACTGGTCATGTCTCGTATTGACTTTTGCAACAGTCTTCTGTATGGTCTTCCTGATGCACAAATTAACAAATTGCAGAGAGTACAAAATTCAGCTGCCAGACTTATTGCAAAGCGTCGTTCACGTGAGTCCATCACTCCACTGTTTAGGGAGCTTCACATGCTAAGAGTCCGGGAACGAATTGATTTTAAGATCCTCTTGCTGACTTTCCAATGTTTGACAAAAACAGCTCCAGTCTACCTTCAAAGGCTGATATCAGAATACTTACCTTCCCGCAACCTGCGCTCAAACAAGAAATCACTCTTAATAGTTCCTGCCACCAATACCCAGTCTTATGGTTCCCGAACTTTTTATGCAGCATCCCCTCAACTCTGGAACAATTTACCTCAATGTATAAAACAAGCAGATTCAACAGACAAATTCAAATCCATGTTAAAAACCTACTTTTTTGTTAAATAGCCTTTTTCATTTGCATATGCAGCCCCCTCGATTGTCCACTATCTATTATGTATAACTTAATATTTTGCTGTAATTCCTTCTCTTTCTATTTTTCTTAAGCGCTTAGAGACATATTTTGTGATAAGCGCTATACAAATGTTGTTAATTATTATTATTATTAACATTTATTTTCCCCCTTGTTTTCTAATTTTGTTCATCTGTTTAATATAGTTAGGCTTTCAAAATATCGCCCACACCCTTTTTGTCATGTACATCCTGGAGAAGACAAGTATTAAATGTGATTAATTAAATCAAGTCAAGTTGTGTTATAATAATAGAGAAGTTTTAAAATTCTACTGCAAGTCGACTTTCAGAGCACTAATTCGACAAGAGCTAAACAGTATACTAGAATTGTACCATTCGACACTGTAATACTTGATTGTTACATTTCCTAAGATGTTTTTTTTTTGTTGGCTTACCCACATTTCCATGCCCGTGTGATTGACCGGTGGGGGGAGGGGGGGGAGGGGGGAGGGGCACATCATGGATGGGGATTTCCCGTAACGTTATCGCGAAAGGCCGCCATAATAATAAGAGAGGCAACATGGAAAGGGTGGGGTGATACTAGTCTTACTAAGTTAGTTGACGAGTAACGATGGGAGCAGGGAGAGTCTGTGAAGCACAGGCGCCGGAAAAAGTGGTCGGACCATAATTTAATTCATTAAAACCCCTGAGCTTCCGGGGGCTCCGCTCCCCTGACCAGGGGCGGATCCAGCCGGCGCCGCAGGGGAGGGGGCCCAATTCGTGAGAAAATATTTAGCGGCGAAACAGCCGGCCGATAATTCGCTCAGTGAGGGAGGGGGGGGGGGGGGGGGGTAGTGACCACTCATTTTTTTATTGTTGGGGGGGGGGCCTCGAAAATTTGAAAAATCGCACCCCCCCCCCTTGAGCGCCAGGATAGGGGGCCCATCTCCAAAGAAAAGGTATTTCACATGTTTTTTCCCAGGGATGGAGGCCCGCCGCCTCCCTCCCACTGGATCCGCCACTGCCCCCTGACTCCCGCCCAGGCAAAGCCTTTGGACCCGACGTCAATTTACGCTCCACTCACTTCGGTCGCTACGCTCTACCCAGGGAGGTGAAAGAAATGAGTCGAAACTCTTGTAATTTATTCAAACTCATTCGTGAGTTTTAAAGCGTAACAATGGGATGTGTAACATTCCACATGGCTTTGAAGTTCCATGCTCCGAACCGCGCTTCCACCGCGCTTTCGGAAGCCAGGCACCAGTTTTACATTTATTACAAAATATTAAATAACCGGCAAAATTGCAGTGTAAATCAAAAACTTTATATTGGGATTTTATTGGGAATAGTGCATCAAACAAATTTTCAAATTTAGAATTCCGTCCTTCCTATAATTTGTGTGCCAGAGTTGGTAAAAGAAAAATTACATCTTGACAAAAACTCAATATTTTAGGATGATGCACTAATTTGTGCATGCTTTAATGTCCCGTTATTTGATCCATGATTTACAATCTTCAACAACATTAAGTTTGCTGATGCGTGTTTTCGCTTGTTTTTTTGTATTTTTCAAGGTAAAAAAGGATGAAATTACACAAGTTTGTGTTCGCTTGTTCTACTCTTTACACATTCCATAATGGATGAGAAATCATTGGAAGGGACAGCGAACAGTTACTGTGATACCATTTTCAGATGTAGGAATTCTTAATCCTGAAATTTCATGCGCTCTTTTATCTCACCACCTGGTCAACAGTTGCAGATTAGCGCATAACTTTTCGGCGGCTTGGAGCATGCAGGGGTCAAAGGAGAGCGGCTTAATTTCAGTCCTTCTCTATCACTTTATCAGGTCCCTGCTCTACCTGCAGATCGTTAATACTCCATTTTGAAAAACGTTCCGCGAGGCGTTCATGTAGTCATGTAAGAGTGTTGGTGAACTAGTGATGCAGATATTTTTTTCTCTCCCCCTCCCCCTGGCCCCTCCCCCTCCCCCACAAAAAAACGTGTTTGCTCATTACTGCCCCTGAAAGGTGAGCCCTCAGCCATGTTTGCCCCCCCCCCATCCCAAACTGCTTATGGAGCGAATCATCAAGTTATTTTCTTTCCCTCTCTACCCCCCCCCCTCCTCTGTTTCTCTCCCCCCCCCCCCCCCCCCCCCCCCCTCCCCCCCCCCCCCCCCCCCACGGTCTGCCGTTCCGTCTCTCTCACACACATCTACGCATACCCACTAATACATGTGTCATCATTATTCTTTGCATTGTATGATTGTTTATATACTGTCATTATTGGGATCAGAGGCGGTGGAGCGACTTTCAAGGTGGGGGGGGGGGGCAACAACAAAAGGGCACTTTCTGGAAAAAGGGCACCTTCAAAGGGAAATCTCAAAGCGAAAATATACAATTTTTTAGACATTGGTATATACCCCTATACTGTGATTACATTATCAGGGATGATTTCCATATTTGTTTCTCTTTATACATCATATAAGATATTGCTTAAGCATCATACTTTGCAGTTGCGTGTCATGGTCTGAAAATTCATTTGCGAGCGAGGACAAATTTTAAGATTTGTGAGGTCGCAGTGCGAAAAATTACATCTTATAAAGAGGAATAACCCAATCCTGATGGGATTATAAGCACATTCTCAAAGACTGAACAGACCTTTGATAAGTTACATTATTATAACATCTATAACTACGAGCGAGCGTAGCGAGCGAGCTATGGGGAAAATTGCTCTCAGTCGCTTGAAATTAGGGGCCATTTATGACGAGAGGAAAAGGGGACACTTAGCGAAAGGGTTAAGACTCTTATTAGAAAAGAAAAGGAGCACGTGTCAAAGTACAAAGGCTAATTATCATAG